GCCCACTTCTGAGTGCTACACTAATTCAGAGCAAAGTAATGGAAAGTGCCTATTCCCATTTCAAATGCATTTCCTGGCATATTTTTGCCATGCTCTTTATTATGTGATTTATTTTCTTAGTTTTTCCCCTAGATTGAGGTCTCCAAGATGTATGTAGTTTCCATCCTATTTGTAGTACCTGTCCAACTTTCTGGGAGATCTCCAAAGTGAACAATGGTTTATTGTCACTGAGGAAGTGACAACCTAGGAAGGTCAACCTTTAAGGAATGTCAACCTATGAGGAAGACCAAACCTAGGAATTATTTCTTTAAGTAGACGTTTCACTAACTCAGTCACCTTCTCAGTTCTAGTGGGGTATGCCTCTAAACATCCAGAAAAAGTGTCCACAAAAACTAATAAAAATTTGAATTTCCCTCTGATTTTAGGTATTTGCATAAAGTCTACTTGCCAGTCCTCTAGTGGGCATAGCCCTTTTTATGGTACTCCCTTTTTCTCTGAGGTGTGTTCTGTCTTAGGATTGTTTTTGGCACATATCTGACAGGCTCAGGTAATCCTCTGAACAGTCCTTTGCAAACAGGGCCCTTCAAATGTGGCCTAATGAAGTCCATCAAAGCATTCCTTCCATAATGGGTCCATTCATGTAGGTGTTTGAGGATGGGATACACTAGGGCAGGGGTGCCAAAATCATTTTCACAAAACGTAATTTCAGTTCCTTAATAGTTAAGGAGTAGTTACATTTATACAGTCCTAAAATTATTTCGGCCCTTTGAAGGCCACCGCAAGGCTGATCCCCCAGTGAAAAGGAGTTTGACACCCCTGTACTAGAGCCTTGGGAAGTAAGATCATACAATGGGTGTTGATCTTCCACAGAATTTGCATCAGTGTTAGTGAATCCCTATTCATGGGCTCATTCCCCATCTCATTTCATGTAATGGGGCTTAAATTTTGACACATCCAAGCAGGGGATCAGAACCTCTAAGCATGGCAGCTCTGTAGCTGCTTGTCTTGCTGCTTTATCAGTAATTCGGTTTCTCTGGCTCATTTGGGAACTGTCCCTTTGGTGCCCTGGGCAGTGCATTATGGCAATCTGGTCTAGTGGATTCATTGACTCTAGCAATTGTAAAATCTCTGCATATTTAACATCTTTCTTCCCCAAGGTTAAGAGTCCTCATTCCTTCCATATTGTTCCATGGGCATGAACTACCATGAAGGCATATTTGGAGTCTGTGTAGATATTAACCTTCTTTCCCTGGGACAGTACTAAGGCTCTCCTGAGGGCTATCTCAGTTCACACTTCCATGCTGAGGCTGCCGGCACAGGGCTTGGGCTTCTATTACCTTGTATACAGTGACTACTGCATACCCAGCTTATTGTCAGCCATTGTTCATGAAACTGCTCCCATCTGCATACAGCTCCCAGTCTGGTGCTGCCAATGGTCAGTCTAGTAGATCTGGCCAGCTAGAATAAACTTGGTCAATAATTTCCAAGCAGTCATGAAGGAGGGCTGAGTTTCTCTCCATGTCTGGGAGCAGAGTGGCCAGATTCAAGGTTGTAGTAGTCTGCAAGGTAACATTTGGGTTGTCCAGCAGAATGGCCTGGTGTTTCCCCATATGCCCTGCCATCAGCCAATACCCTTCTTTCTGTTCCAATAGAGTTAGTACCTGTTGTGGTACCAATACTGTAGTGGGATGTCCCAAAGTAAACTTCTTAGCTTCCTGTAAGATGTCACAGTTGGTTGCCACTGCTTGAAGACTTGGTGGCCACCCCTTTGTCATGTGATCTGACTTCTTGGAAAGATAAGCAATGGGTTTGGGGATGTTTCCCAGAGCATGGATTAGTACCCCTAGTCCAAAATCCTGCCTTTCTTGAATGTACAATTTGAAAGACTTTTGTGAATTGGGCAAGCCTAGCACTAGATCTGAAAACAGCTTTTCCTTCAAGTTATCAAATGCTACCTGATGATCCCTTGTCCATTTGAAAGGTTCAGAGACCAGTCCTTTCAAGAAATCATACAGTGATTTTGCTATGAGTCCAGTGTTCAGAATCCAAATTTGGTAAGACCCTGTAATCCCTAAGAACCCACGAAGCTGCCTTCCATTTTCTGGTACTTTTAATGCAGTAATGGCTTGCTTTCTATCTGCCATCAAGCTCCTGGTACCCTGTTTCAGTTGAAATCTCAGGTTTGCAACTTCCTGTTCTAGGCCGTATGAGGTGACAGCTTATGTGCCCTTTTTGCCAAATGATTGAGGGCTGTGATGGCTGTGATGGTGTTGAGTAAACAGCCCTCATAGGTGCTTCTAATTATCAATATGTCATCTACATATTGCAGAGGCACTCCTGATTTCAACTGAGTATCCCTTAAGTATTTTTCCAACACTTCCCTGAATATAGTTGGGGAGTTCTTACATCCTTGTGGCAGCATGTTCCAGCAGTATTGGGGTGTAGCTTTTGTTTCTGGGTTCTGCCATTCAAATATGAGCAGTAGTTGAGACTGTCCATCTCTTGGGATGCAGAAAAAGGCATCTTTCAAGTCTAGAACTGAAAACCATTTGCTATCTCCAGGTACCATGGTCAACAACTTATAGGAGTTGGACACTGTAGGATGAATGTCCTGAATAATGTCATTTATGGCTCTAATATCCTGTACTAATTGATATTCATCAGAATGAGGCTTCTTGACTGGCAGAATGGGAGTGTTGCAGGGTGACTGGCATAGCTGAATTAGTCCCCATTTTAAGAATTTCTACAATACTGGCTGAATCCCCTCTAAAGCCTCCTTTTTGAGGTTACTGTCTCTTTTTTTTTTTTCCTGTGGGATCTGTGCCCCTTCTTTTAGATAAACTTTTATGGGTTGGACATAACCTGGGGTTCCATCAGCTAAAATAGTTTGGTTGACCTGCTCATAGATCTGAGGTGGGAAGGGTTTGTTACAGGGTGCAGCCAAGAGGGGGGACCCCAAATAGGGATTTGGAATGGGGTCCGGAACTCAAGGTTTTCAAAAATATTAGGATGTCCTCACCCCCCCCCCCCGGGTGTGGGTTGGGGGAAGGGACAAATGGAGCAGGGCCATTGAGAGCTGTTTCGCATAGCCACAGCCTTGCAGCTAACCTCTGGTGTGGTCATTTAACATATCTGTAACCTTTTTCTGGTTACATAGATATGTTAAATAGCTGTGGCCATGCTTTGAGCCAAGGGAATGGAAGTAACTTTCCCACCAAGACGTAACTGGGGGGCAGGTCCCCCCAGTTACAGTGCCTGCATTGGAGCTTGGAGATGATTGGCTCCATGACATGGGGCCACACCTTCCAAGACTCATAATGGCAGTCCAGTAAAGCTGGAAGAATGTGAAATTGATGGCAAGTGTAGCCGAGTGTGGGAGGAGTTGGAAATGGGGCTACAGAGGAAGATTGGCACGGGGATTTAAACCCACAAGCAGCAGCCATTAGGGAGAGAACCATTCGGTCTTTAGCAGAGTGGGGACTCCCACAGCCCTGCGAGAGAGAATCACCATGAGGCTTTAGATGAGAACCGCCACTCAGCTTTGGCAGAGTGGCAACCCCCCTCCTTGCAGCCATTGAGGGGGTAGAACCATGCGGTTTTGGCTGAGTGGAGACTCCGAAGCCATTGTGCGGAGAAGGACCATGTGGCTGGGGCAGTGGGGAGAGAACCACATGCCTTTGCCAGAGTGGGGACCCCCGCAGCATTAGTAGGGGGAACCACCACCCAGCTTTAGCAGAGATCCCGGTGACACAACTGAGGGTGCCGAGAACTGAGGGAGGTCTCCCAGCCAAAGAGAACGGAGGGAGGTCTCCCAGCCAAGACAGATTACTGGGAAGAACTGGGGGCTGCCTGAGCCAAGGACCTCTATTTCTTTTCCTGAGATACGGTACCCCAGAATGGGCAAAGGGGAAAGGAAGGAAGGACTATGCGTGTTTATGGGTGTTTTAAGGGACTTTGGGATTTTGATGAAGACATTACGTCACTACTTTAAGTCTGTATAGCATTAAATAAACATTTCCTTTCCTTTTCATGAATCTCTGGCATTGAGAGACATCTTTCCTATAGGCAGCAGACATAACGAACCTGGGGCTTCCTTTTAGTTAATAGTATATTGCCTAGGCCCCACCTTGTTGTTCTGTAACAGGTTCACCTCCAGGACTTTCTGGGCAAGTCAGGAGTGTCTGGAGCTGGAGAGAGTGTTCCAGTGGGACCTGTATACATAGTTGATGCTTTTCAGGAAAAAAAGTTACTTGGACATGCAATTTTCAAGGTAAATATTGGCCCAGCAATAGAATAGGGCAGTCTGGCATGTAGAGAAAATCATGTGTGATCTTTTGATCCCCAAGTTGGCATTCTAGGGGTTGAAGGAATGCCTGTTTTTTTGATTGTCTGGACACTCCGGTAACTGTTACTGTATCTGGACTGTCCTTGGTTACTCTAGTGTTCAGTACTGAGTATGTAGTTCCCATATCTACAAGGAAATCAATTGGCTTGTTCCCCACCATCAACTGTACTTGGGGCTCCTGTGAGAAAATAGTAGTAGATCAGGAGATGTCCAAGAGGGCCCCTGGCATTTGTCATCAGACTCCCCTCCCATTTTTAGCATTTGCAGGTGAAGGTTTCCATCCCTACTTTCCCTTTTGAATTTTGGGCACCCCTTTTTCCAATGGCCCACCTCCTTTCAATAGGCACATTGGCACCTACTGGGCCTCTCTTTTTCTCTTTAGGGTCCCTTGTCTTCCTCTAGTCTTGCTGCCCTCTTTCTAAGGATACCATGGCCTGCTTTGTCTTCCTTGCCTCCTGGGCATTATATACTTTAAAGGCCATGTCTACCAGCTGAGAAGTATTCATTCCCAATGTCCAATCTATACACTGGAGTTTCTTTCTGATAGCTGGGGTACTTTGCCCAATGAAATTAATGTTTACCATCCACACATTCTCTGGTACCTGCAGAGCAGCATCAGAGTGCTTTCTATAGGCCTGCTAGATCCTATTAAAATTCAGAAGGGTCCCCATCTGGCTTTTGCTGAAGGATCTGTATCAGATTTAGTCTCTTGTGTTTGGGCACTTCTTTCATAAGGCCTTCCAGTATGCATTTTCTGTAATGTTCCAGGAAGGCTAGACCCCACCATTTGGTTCTGGTCAGGCTCTGTCAAGGGAATTGTCCCAGCTAGGTTGCGAGTCCCATTGGGATTCTCTTGGTGGAGATGTTGTACCTCTTCATTAGCCTTATTTATAACCAGCGATCTCTTATCCACTGTTAACAAATATTGAGGAGAGCCCGTACATATGCCCATATTGGATGGTGATTGGCAAAAATGGACATGATGATAAGATCTGCAGTTCTCTGAGGACCATCCCTATATGAGGGGTTGGAATTCTTCCAATTCAGTAAGTCTGAGTGGAGAATGGAGTTTGGACCCAATAGTAGCCAGTGGGCTGACCTTCCTGATTTACTCTGCCTGTTGGGTACTGCCTCAAAGGAAACTACCTTGCTCTGGATAGGGAGGCTCCCTGGTCAAATTGGGTGCCCTGATGGGTCTTTGAGGTGGAGACCCATCCTTAGTCATACAAGTGTGGAGTGATTGCCCGTTTGGGCTCTAATTCAGAGATAGCTTTTGGTAGGGGTCCTCCTGCTATGAACTATGTATCCTTTGAGTTCAGGGCATTAATAAGACCCATTTCCTCATTCTCCTTTTCTTCTTGTGTACTGTCAGGAAGAAGTTTCAAGGTCCCTTGCCTTCTCTGCACAATTAAGTGGACTTCTGTCTCTGGTGAAATCCTATTATGCAACAACATAAATGCCTTGACATAATGGATTTCTTCCCATTATATAACTGTTGGCAATACTGTTCCAATTGCATAGTGGTATAGTAATATAGGGAACCACCCATGGGCCACCTTTCCCCATGAACAAAAACATATGTAGGTCACACAGTATTGCAGTAATAAACCAATACTTCCTTGGACAATGGATAATGGCCATAGGTACCCCAGTTCAGTAAAATTCTACCCAGTGGGCTCCCCACAAGGAACCAACCCAGAATGGCCCCTGCTGGCCCAGATATATCAGTCCCAACCCTATGTCCAAAAAAAGCCAGGCAACGTGGGAACATACAGAGAAAACTGGCACCCACGACTCCATTTTATAACAAATGCTCACAATGCAAGTTTTTCTGTCAACTAATCTCACAATCAGTGAACTCAAGCAATGGCCTCCCCTAAAAGGGCCAGTTTTCATCCAGAATCTGGTTCACAACCCTGAAATTCAGGTGATCCTTCCTTGTTTCCAGAGTCTACTCCCTTCCCAGACCCATTTCCTTTCCACCTTCCAGGTGTGTTCAAGCAGCCGATGACCCAAGTGAGTGTGCTGAGGAACCCCCAGCAGCAGGGAGGCCCCACAGTTCTACTCCCTGGGGGAGTCGACCTGCCACTAGCAGCTAGGGCCCCATGTTGGGCACCACTACTGTATCCAAACAACCAGTGGGGTCCTACTGCCTGCTGGCCACAGGAATAACTAGAGACCAAGTCTGGTGGAAAGGAAAATGGAATTTGTGTGTGTATGTGTATGATTACCTGATGTCCACCTCTGTCCCCACTACCAGAGGAGTGAACGGGCTGCTGACAGGTAGCTGGCACAGTGGTTTCCCATGGCTTTGCATCCAGGGGAGGGGTGGAGGGCTTGTTGCTCAGCCATGCCATCTCTTGAGAACTGCTGGCCCTAATCTCCTTTCCCCATGCTGCTTCCCCCTTTTTAGCACCAGCTGTACTCCTAGTCAGGCCCAAAGTGCACAGGCTTGACCCTCCCTGGCCATACTGGGGCTACAGCCAACTGGCCTGCACAGGCATTGGCCACAGGCAGGCAGCAGCCAGTGTGACTTGCTACCTGAGGGAGAGAGGCAGGGCTTGTTGGGCTTTGCCTCCCTGATCCTACCACCCTAGCCTCCTCCCTTCCCCTCTTTCTAGAGCTCACTGTGCTCCATGCCTGCCCTGGAGCTCTCAGGAGGGGGCTCTGGGAGGCACTCCCAGGCCACCCAGTGTCCAAAGTCCAGAACCCAGGAACTCCAGCCCTTGTGGGTCCAGAAGGAGAGAATCCAAGAGATCAATATTTCAACACACTCTCCTTTTGAGGACAGTACTCCAACCAACTGAGCCACCAGGCCAGGACTTCCATGCACTCTCCTTTTAAAGCCTGCCCTGGAATCCCCACCTGAAGGAAGCAGATGGGAGGGTATGTCCCTCCAAACCAATTATCTTCCTGGTTTTTGGCACCAGCATTGTGCACCTTTTTTTGTTTTTGTTTTTGTTTTTGTCCCATGCATATGTCATCTTGGTTTCCCAGGGCACACATGTACCATGTTTGGTGTTTCTCCACCCTTCCCCATTTCTAGGGGTGAATTCCTACCATTACAGAATTGCTTGGTCAAAAGGCAGTTCCATTTTCAATTTTTTGAGGAAATTCCATAGAGTTTTTCACAGTGGCTGCACCAGTCTGCATCCCTACCAACAGTGTATTAGGGTTGCCTTTTATCCACATCCTCACCATCATTTGTTCTTTGTTGAATTATTAATGATAACCATTCTGACAAGTGTGAGGTGATATCTCATTGTGGTTTTAATTTGCACCTTTCTGATGGCTACTGATATTGAGCATCTTTTCATCTGTCTATGGGCCATCTGTATGTCCTCTTGGAGAAGTGTCTGTTCAGGTTCTTTGCCCATTTTTTAATTGGATTGTTTGCCTTTCTGGTGTTGAGTCATATGAGTTCTTTATACATTTTAGAGATTAAATCTTTCTCCAATGTGTCATTGGCAAATATGTTTTCCCATACAGTTGGGTTCCTTTTCATTTTGATTATGATTTCTTTGGTCATGCAGGAGCTTTTTAATTTGATGTAGACCCATTTGTTTATTTTTTTCCTTTATGTCCCTTGCTTTAGGGGATGTATTGGCAAAAATATCGCTACATTAGATATCTGAAATTTTACTGCCTGTTTTCCACAAGGACTTTTATGGTATCAAGACTTATATTTAACTCTTCTATCCATTTTGAGCTTATTCTAGTGTATGGTGTAAGTTGGTGGTCTAGTTTCATTTATTTACATGTACCACTCCAGTTCTCCCTACACCATTTATTTATTGAAGAGGCTATTTTTACTTCATTGTATGCTTATTTCCCCTTTGTCAAATATTAATTGACCATAGAGACATGGATTTATTTCTGGGTTCTCTATTCTGTTGCATCGATCTATGTGTCTATTCTTATGCCAGTACCAGACTGTTTTGATATAGTGGCTTTATAGTATAGTTTGATATCAAGTATTCTGATCCCTCTGGCTTTGTTTTTTTTTTTTCTCAAGATGGCTGAGGCTATTCGGGGTCATTTTTAGTTCCATATAAATTTTTGAAATATTTATTCTAGATTTGTAAAACATGCCATTGGTATTTTAATAGGAATTGCATTGAATCTATAGATTGCTTTGGATACTATGCCAATGGCATTTTATAGTTAAGAATGCTAGTTGGGGGAGTTCTGGCCAAGATGGATGCATAAGTAGAAACCCTTTGCTTCCTCACACAGTGAAAAGGAGGATAACAACAAATCTAAAATCAATAAACAGCCAAAAGCACCAGAAAAATCAAACTGCATGAAAATCCGACAACCAAGGAATTAAAGAATAATTAACCAGAACAATCAGAACCCTAAGGCAGTGGACTGTGCAGGCCAACTCAGATAGGGCTGACTCAGAAAAACAGCAGCAAGGTAGCGGGCTGCGGGGGTGGGGCTGACTGAAGGTAAAACTGAGACTCAGAGCTGACTATGCCTATGGCAGTTTCCATGGTGGGAGAAACTCCCAATATCATGCGAGAATCCATTGGAAAGTATGCTAGAGATGAGCAGGTGAGCTGCACTGTCCCCTCTCTGGCCCCTCTCCCACAGACAGCGCTGCAGCACAGCAAAGAGGGTTGCCCTGCCCAGGTGAATACCTAAGGCCCTGCCCCCTTACAACTTATCAGGTATGCCAATACAAGGAAATAGGGCCCAAATGAAAGAACAGAGCACAACCTCAGTAAGAGAACTAAGAGATGAGGAGATAGCCAACCTATCTGTTGAGAGTTCAAAGCGCTGGTAATCAAAATGCTCATAGAACTGATTGAGTTCAGTCGAAAAATGAAAAAAACAAATGAAGGATATCCAAAGTGAAATAAAGCAAAATATTCAGGGAACCAACAGTGAGAGGAAAGAAAACCAGGACTCAAAGCAACAATTTGGAACAAAAGGAAAAAATAAACATCCATCCAGATCAAAATGAAGAAACAAGAATTCAAGAAAGTGAAGAGACTCTTATAAACCTCTGGGACAACCAGAAACGTTCCAATATCTGAATTATGGGGGTGCCAGAAGGAGAAGAAAAACAGCAAGAAATTGAAAACTTATTTGAACAAATAATGAAGGAAAACTTCCCCAACCTGGCAAAGGAAATAATCTTTCAGGAATCCCAGGAAGCCCAGAGAGTTCCAAAGAAGTTGCACCCAAGGAGGAACACACCAAGGCACACCATAATTAAGTTATCCAAGATTAAATATAAAGAGAGAATCCTAAAAGAAGCAAGAAGAAAGGAGAGAGTTACCTACAAAGGGGTGCCCATAAGACTATCAGCTGATTTCTCAAAAGAAACCCTGCAGGCACGGAGGGGCTGGAAAGAAGTATTTGAAGTCATGAAAGGCAAGGACCTACATGCAAGATTGCTGTATCCAGCAAAGCTATCATTTAGAATGGAAGGCACATAAAGTGGTTCTCAGATAAGGTCAAGTTAAAGGAGTTCATCATCACCAAGCCCTTATTATATGAAATGTTAAAGGGACTTATCTAAAAAAAGAAGATAAAACATATGAATAGTAAAATGACAAGAAACTCACAACTATCAACAAATGAACCTAAAAGAAAAGAAAAACATCAAAAGCAAAAGCTAAGCAAACAACCAGAACAGGAACAGAATCAGAGAAATGGACATCACACGGAGGGATTTCAGAGGGGAGGGGGAAGAAAGGAATAGGGGGCAAAAGGTGCAGGGAAGAAGAAGCATAATTATTAGGCATAAAATAGATTGGGAGAGATAAAAAATGGTACAGGAAACAGGACTCAAAGAACTTTTATGTACAAACCATGGTCATGAACTAAGGCGGGGAATGGTGGAGGCTTGGTGGGGCAGGGCGGAGGGGGGTAAATGGGGAAAAATTGGGAAAACTGTAGTA